AATCTAACAAAATAAAATTCCAAAAAATGTCAAAACCATTCTTCATAAAACCCCAGAAAACTAAAAAATAAACATTAAAAAAAAAATTCTCTTCTCTCTCTCACTCTGTCTTAAAAAAAAAAAAGAAAAAAGAAAAAAGCTGCATTCATTTTCACAACTCTAGGTTTGGTGTAATCAGAAACAAGAAGTGTTTTTCCCCAAAAAATGTATTTAAATTTCACTCTGTGATGTATGTAGAGAAAAAATAATCTACATTGAACTCAGGGGCACTCGACCACTGAGTCATATCCCCCAGACCTATTTTTTATTTTATTTTTATTTACACTCTTTTATATGTGTCCTACTACATAGGCCATTAAATGTAGTACAGGTGGAATGTGGTAGACTTGTTTGTGATGAGTTGATTCAGGAAACAAAAAAAGGGGATCATCCAATTTAGCTTTCTAAACAACAATGTATTTTTACACAGAATTAACTCATCTTCAATTTCATATCTATGTGACCTTCTTCACTCTTCTCCATTAACGCATATGGTAAATTCTTTAATATTATGGAAAAAATAAGCATAACCTCACATTTCAAGATATGCAGCTTTGAAAATAGATTAGAAAAGATACATAGTGAAAGAAACTTTAAAATGCATGATTATTGGACATTTTAATAGAAAAATGCAAAAGAGATACAAAACTGCTCTAACTTATTATCCTTTCCAGAATCAAACTAAATTATTTGAAGCTTCTTAAAATGAACAAACCAAATGCAGGTTATGAGTTCTATATAGTAAGTAAAATGCTAAATAAAGTGTATGAAGTAATACAATAGATTTTTCTTATTCTGAGCCTGAAACAAAAAGGTGGTTCTAGAACAAATATTTGAAAATAATGATAAAGCTAGATTCTAAAAAAATCTTGTCAGCATCTTTATAATCTTAATATAGTACAAGGCCAAGGTTTACTTAAAAATTCTGGCAAGTCAAACTTACACAATAAAAATAAATATAGTGTCACATGATTTGGTTTCCCAAAGATTGGAATTTTGACCTTGAATGAAGTCTTCCTGATTCAAATGCTACAAATACTTTAGCTGAAGAAAATATTAAACATTAATTCTCCCAGAATGTGGCTGTGCTTTTTAATGTTCATGCCCCACACTAATATTTAACATAGGCTTATTTAATTCAACAAATATTTATTATATCCACCAGAGATAAGCTCTAGCCTGAGGCAACAAAGACATAAAGTTGACCAAAACCAACACAATGCCTCTTCTTACAGGACTAAGAGAAGCAGAGAAAACACAGAATTAACAGATAATTACAAAAGAGTAATTATCCAAGAGTATAGGATAAGCAGAAGTATTTTTAAAAAATCTATGGAGTCAGGGAAGGCCTGTGGTAGAAGTTTTCAGCTAGCATCTTTAAAACAAAACTATTCAAGTTTATGGCAAGAGAACCATATTTCTGAAGATTATTGCTGTTCAGTCCCATCAATTAAATTACCCTTATAACACAAACAGGTTAATTTAAGGGCCAGGCTTACATATTCAGCATAATATACTGCTTTTAAAAAAGTTCTTAGCTATAGTCTTAAACATCAAAAAGAATCACTTCATTTCTACCACTTCAGGAAAATCCAATAAAGCATGGGTTTAAAATAATATTTCTGGAAAATGGCAGACTGATCCCCTAAGCTTCTTTGAATCACTTCCCCCTCAACTACACTAAAATCACAGTAAAGAAATTTAAAAAGGCACAAATACATAAGGACTAAAAAGAGAAAAGGAGAAGAGATTAAAACAATCAAGAGAATTCACCAACATTTCTGTAAAATTGAAGAGATGGAGGAGTGATAATTGACCTAGGGGAGCAGAGGCACTCGGTGGGTACCTTGGGAAAGACTAAATGGAAGTAAGATACTTCCTGTATAAATCTCAGAAATGCGAGGTATTGGAAACACAAGCAGCTATATAGACACTTTGTAAGTGATGGAACTAAAAATAGGATTAAAAATAATACATAAGTAGAGCATTAGGTATTTCCCTAATATATGTTCTTACACCTGTGTACGTGGCCCTGCATCCAGAATATTACTGCTCCCCTACCTCTCTAATTCTTTGAAGAAATTCAATGATACCAAAAAAAAAAGTGCTATGAAATGCTGACATTTGAGTGCTGCTCTAATAAAAAATATGATCACCCAACGAAAAGCCATGCTCATGTAAAGAACTTTTGAGAAGATCTCAAATAATAGATGGGCAACAACCATAGATATGTGAGGATAATCTGCAAAATAAAAGTGAGAATCTGTTAACTCAAACAGCGATTAAAAAAAAAAAGAAGGAACCTAGAAGAAAAAAGTAATGCACAGAGCAGAAAACAAAACAAAATTACAAGTTATATTCTTAAAGTAAAAAGAGGCCCAGGTGGCTCATGCCTGTAATCCCAAATGCTCAGGAGGCTGAAGCAGGAGATCACAAGTTCAAAGCCATCCTCAGCAACTTAGCAAGGCTCTCAGCAATTTAGGGAGACACTGTTTCAAAATAAAAAATAAAATGGGCTGTAAATGTGGCTCAGTGGTAAAGCACCCCTAAGTTCAATCTCTGGTACAAAACAAAACAGAATGCCTGTAACACGTGAACCCATGAACATAGAATATAAAAACAGTTCTAAAAAAAATAGGATGGCTAAAATTAATAATTCAAAAGAAAGTCTGGAAGATAAAGGTAAGGATATTTTCCATAAAAGCCAACCACTTACAAGATTGTTAAAACTGAAATACAAGAAAGATTGACATTAGAATTAAATTAGGATCTGTTAGCAAGTTTACATTCAAATACTAGCAGTTCCAGAAAATGAGAACCAAAAAAAAAAAAAAATTGTAGAGGAAAATATCAAAGAAATAGTACAAGAAAATTTTACACAAAATTTTAGACATGAATTTCCATATTGAAAGGGCCCTTAAGTATGTAGCACAAAACTATACATGTCAAAGCTCATTATTGTGAACATTTTAAAAATCAAGAATAAAAAATTTACAAAAGTTTTCAGAGAGGTTTCAAAAGGTCTCATAAAAAAGGGTATGACAATCAAAATGTAGGACCAGAGATTTGGGAAGGATAAGACACAGAATTTCATTTTTATATGACTTCTAAAACAATGTACAGGAACTTTCATACACACTAAGCAATATGTAAAAAAATAGATAAGTAAATAAATTAATTAAACAAATTTATTGAATGTTCACTACATGCCAGGTGTGTCATCCTGTTTTAAATATATCAACCCTTCTAATTCTCATAAGAGTGTGAGACTATTATCTTCTTTTATGGATAAGGAAACAGGTATTGAGAGATTAAGTAATTTGCACAAAATGACAGAGCTAGTAAGTGGTGAATCCTGAGTTCTAGTTTTCTGAGTGTTGGTTTTGAAAACTGCATGTTACTCTCTCTCCATGAAAAGTAAAATTAATTATAAAAAAGAAGAAAATACTATTTACATGTTCCCTATCTTGTTAATCTATTCCCAGATCAATTGTGGTTGATTGAAAGTTCTAATCTGGTTCAACTTGGTAAAAAAAAGTTTAATGATACCTTTCCTCTTAAGCCACAAAAATGTACTATTTGGGGGAGAAGGAGAATATTGAATGTTGAGGGTATTTGCTAGTTATTTTAAGTATTCATTATATAAAAGTACTTTGGGTTGTGTGGTTATGATTTATTGCTAGAAGTTCCATGAAGCAGATTCCCTAACCTAAATGCATCAATGACCTGCATCAAAATAACCAATGCACTCAGATCACAACCATGTATTTACGTAAAGCATAAAAGCTATAAAATTTCATTAAAGTTAAAAACAGTACAGTTGTCTCTTTTCTACATTATTTTTTATCTAACTTTTTCACACTTTTGCAAGGAAAATTTCCCTAGACAATTTTTCTGTTTATTTGCATTTCTTTATTAAACATGGTGATGTGATAGAAACATCAATCATGCCCTTTTTAGTCACTCTTACCTCACAGTCATCTTTACCTATATTATCAACTGTCTAATATATATTATCAACTATCTAATAATACTTATAGTTAGACATTTTCATGTGATTAAAGTCCTCTGTAGGAGCTTCATTTATAGTTTCCTACCACCCAGGGCTTCAAGTCAGACAAGCACTCTACCTCTGAGCTCTATCTCCAGCCTCTTAATTCTTGTTTTAATGGGGTAGGTGGGAGAGAAATATACTCTTTTTGAATAGTTTTTCCCCCTTTTACATTCTGATATCATCATACTTCCTCTTTCTCCTTCTTTTAAATTTTTATTTATTTACTTACTTATTATTATTTGGCATTGGTAATTGCATACAGGGCTTCACGCATAGCAGGCAAGTGTTCTACCACTAAGCTACATTCCCAGCCCACATCTTTCATTTTGACTTATAAGGAGGCTACAAAGGTTTAGCGTTTCTAGCCTGGTACTTCCATGCACTAATATAGTGACTTTTGAGACCTCAGACCACTGCTTCAAAACTCATTCTACTGCGTTCGATTTCCTGAATCATTTACTTTTGCCCTGCCTGGCCTGGTGGTTCCTTTCTTACACACGTAGACCTCACATTTTTACCTCTCCTCCCCTTTCTGAGTCGTGTTTTGTTTTATTTTTGAGGAGGAGGAGGAGGAGTGTTTGATTGACAGGCGGTAGCTGTAGCAACCCAGAAGCTCCGGATGCATCAGTGACAGTATCATCCATGTCTTCCCAACACTTAGTAAAACAAATCCTAGGCTGCTCGGCCTAGGTCTCAGTCTCGCTCACAGGAGATTCTCTACCCACGGCCACGGAGCTCACTGTATCTCTACAAGCTTCAACGTCCAGTGTTACCGTGACCTACGGTCTCAGTTGCACCGTGCATATAGTCCTCACCATCCCTCCCCGTGCACAGGTGGAATACCTGCCCAACCCTCGCGCGTCACCTGCGGGCCGCCTCCAGCGCGTGCGCGCGCTCGTGCACATACCGTCTCCTTGGCAGCAGCCACCGGGATGGGAAGCAGTCCCCGGCCTCGGGGCAGGTCCTCGAGCTCTGTGGCCGCGCTCTCGGAAAGGCGCCCGGGCGCCAGCACCCGCGCAGAGTCGCCTCTGGGGTCCCCATACAGCTGGTAGCACAGGAGGCCGACCAGACCCCCGCCCGCTGCCGCTGCGATGCTCAGTTCTCCCCAGCGC